CCCCAAAACCCCAAAACCCCAAAACCCCAAAACCCCAAAATCTGTGCAGAATTGAAACCAAAAGCGGTGAGATTTTAAAATAATTTATTAAAATCCAGAAAAATGTAGTAAAATTATATGTTGTTCTTTGGAGGAACTATTATGATTGACTTTGACAGATTCTTTATGATTTCTTGATCATCCTCTTCAGTGTCGTTCATCTCCGGCAGCTCATCTCAAGGGTTCAGGAGAAGTGTTTGCCTGTATTTATTCTCTATTTTTATCAATTTAGCCTGTTGACTACTCGACTTTCCTTTTATTCTAAAAATATTTAGTATTAGATGAAGCATAAGACATACTCTGAAGTTGAAGAAAATTCTGAAGGTGACATCATCGGGTTCTCGGGAGGATTACAGATTGGCTTTGTCTTTGTTCTATCATAGTATCGTAAGGGAATTGCTGGTGAATTTGAAGGCAAGATAGAATGCTGACTATTCGTCTCTGAGAACCGATGCTGAATTAACTCAATACTTTTTTTTTGCTCTTCTGAACCAGTTCCACTACTATAAAAACTAGTTCAGTAAAAATTAAAAGATGTCAAAGAAAAAGAGATTCGTGTACCTTCCAAAGCCTGATCCTTTTGTAAGAAATTTACGCAATTCTGGAGGGATATAACTACTATCACTAGACCGAGGAGAAGAAGACTTTTGCTGACCACTTCCGAAAGTAAAGTCACTTTTATCCTCACCAGTTATTGATTCTTTTATAGACCCCAGGTGCATATTTTGGGTAAGAGTGTTCCTAATTCCCATGCTTTCTCGACTCTCAGAATTTGTGTGCTGAGGGTTAACTGTAATAAATGGGTGAATCAGCATTTTAGTGAGACTTGCCTCTTCGTCAAACGCCTTATCTAGAAAACTCTTAAGAATATATGATAAGCTCTCATTTTTATATATAGATTTTAGAACATCGACTCTGTGTTGGAGCTCACCTAGATCAAGAGGCATATCAAGTCTTAGTTTTCCTAGTAATTTTAGGACCAGAATTCCGACTCAGAAGAGGTCCATCTTGGAGCCTTCAAAGAGATCTAGTGGATTCTCTTTGTAAATGCAGTTATACAGTCCATAATTCATCATCTTAATGTTCATTGAAATTTGGTTAATCATAATATTATCAATACTGATGCTACCATGGAAATATGAATTTTTAAAGAGCAGTTCGAGTCCTGAGAATATTTGTTCACAAATTTTAGAAATTGAGATATCATCGAGGAACCCATAACATTCCACATACTCTGTAAGTGTGAGGAGGTTAGGAACTTTTTGGTTGTCAAATAATGGTTCAATTCTTACAACTTGCTCTCCAGCATCCTCTGTCTGAGAAGCTTCAGTATATTCCACAAACAGGGGATTATTTTGTGTCTTCGTCCTTAACTCATTTACAGTATCCAGCAAAGAGCTATAAAAATGCTTGAACGACTGAGAATCGGTTTATAAAGCAACTCGAATTTTATGAAGTCATTTGTGTAAAAACTTGAAGACTTCCTAAGGAATTAATACTTACCTGAAATTTGTAGAAGAGTTCTCCTTTGATCCATTCAGGTCGTTAAATTTCTCCATTGAGCCTGTATCAAAAACCTTGCCTGTAAACTGGCTTTCTGTTTCAGAGTCTGAATTAGCTTCTTTGTAGTTTTTGTGATAGGTCTTATTTCAACTGATCTCTATTTATGAAAGAGTCAATATCAGCATTCCCATCGCTAAAACGCTTCAGCTGAGGGATAGAGCTTTGACTCTGAGCCATAGACATCTGTTCATCCTCCTCAGTTCTTACTATATTAATCTGATGGTCTAGATGCAAATTTATAGATAGAAATTACTTTGTTTAGCTATTGACAAGTTCGACTCATTCCTTATTTTCGTCCCTATCGGTCTTTTCCATGCTTCTGAAGGGTGAAGTGATATACTTGGTCTTTCTTTGGTATAAATACTCTGACGAGATTTACAAATATTAGCTCCCATATTCTTATTATTTCAATATTATCCCAAACATATGGGGTTTTGGGGTTTTGGGGTTTTGGGGTTTTGGGGTTTTGAGGAATTTCGAGTGATTTG